AGTGGACATCTGCCCCATCCACTCTACATGCTAGTAAGTGGACATCTGCCCCATCCACTCTACATGCTAGTGAGTCCAGTCCTAGAATGTCACAGACTCTGAGTTTAAAGAAAACTTAAAACTTTGTCTAGTCCAGCCCTCTACCCAACAATCTAATTTCATCCAGAACAACCCCAAAGTAATTGCCCAGAGATGATTACCTCTAGTGGCAGGGAACTCCACGCTCAGTGTTCTAATACGGGAGACCACTAATTCTTTGAAAGTTTTTACACTTACCAAACACCCTTCCCTTATGGCACTTTCTCCTGTTGGTCCCAGCTGTAATCTCCAGAATGTTACAAAATAAATGGAATCCCACTTGCTTACACTGTCTTTGAAACAGAGACAGCTTTGAGCACTACGAACTGCCACAAGAGGAGGCTGAATGAACAGCTACATGCCTTAAAGGGCAAACAAGGACTTCAGAGCAGGCAATTATAAATGATACAATCAGAAAACAAAGGGAGAGGCTTCATGCTGTTATCAGCACAGCCTCTGCTGCACATAGCCTCCATCCCCAGACAAACTCTGAGTCTCAAACACAAAGTGAATGACAGAGCTGTTTGTGTCCCTTTCTACTTGACTTCAATAACATCTTTAAAGAAAACATGTTCTAAATGTACAAGTAAGTTAATTACTGTAAACGATGCTCTAGACAAGAGTCAAAAGAGGACCCTGATCATGTTTAAAATAATAAAAGACAGTTAAAAATCATTTTGAGCTGTTAGCATTTAGCTTAGACATAATACAGAAATACGAAGAAAGAGGAGGAGAATTTTATGGCAACATAGGAATAAGCAGAAAAAACTACTTCCTAGACAACTGGACTGTCTTGTTGAAAGGCTAATTAATACTTAGTGTACACAGGGGGAAAAATCTCTCTGAATAAAAAAACAAACAGACACTGGTCAGGGGGACTGGCTCACACCTGTAATCCCAATACTTTGGGAGGCCAAGGCGGGAGGATCGCTTGAGATCAGGAGTTTGAGATCAGCCTGGGCAACATACTGAGACTTCATCTCTATTAAAAAATAAACAAAAAACCAAACCTAGATGCACAGCCTCCAGATCACAGCAGAAGGGGCTGTTAAGGATTCAATTCTATCATTGTCTAATCTGAGAAACCTAAACCCAACTCACCTAAGGTTGCCAGGTAAGCGGCAGAGCTAGGACAAAATCTCCTGATTCCTCAATCTCTGTTCTGTCCATTGCACCATGATGCTATCTTCAGCAAAATTCAAATAACTGTAAAACGTCCATCCAGATGAGCAACCCCAAATCTGACAAGTTACAGAAAAAATAAAGCAAAGGTCTTTACATTCTTCAAGTTAATGTCAGGGCTCTGATGTCCACAACCTCGGCTCAGCCGCCCAACCTCCCAGAAGCACACTCCGATTCATATTTCATATTTTGGTATGACTTACATAGAATCCAGGACGGTTAGAAACCAAAACCTAGAGAAGGATGAGCTTGCAGAAAAATAATGAACAAACAGGGAACCACACCCAGAGCAAACCAAACCCCAGCGGTGGAAAATGCAGACAGATACAAAGGGAGTGGACTAAAAGAGAAAGGGACAGAAAAGGGTGCCTTTTCACACGTCAAGTTTCCCGCAGGAGGCAGTGTGGTGAAAAGCAAACAGCTGCTGAAGCTTAGGAACATTTGCATTCCAGGCGTAGGTCTACGATTAACTCGCTGGGTGACCTTAGGCACGCCCTTACCCCTTCCTGGAGTACGGGCTAGGTCCTGGGAAGGAGTTGCACCAGACGACTTCCCAGGGTCCTTGCAATTCTGACCCAAAGACCTATTATTAGCCAGTCTCGAGCAGGGCTCCCGCAGCGGACAAGACATTTGCTGGGAACAGCTGGGGCCCTTTAGGAGGCGCAAAAGACGCCCTAGATGGTTGTTTGGGTTATCGTCACCTTCTACCCCCGTTTCCCACACCTGTCAAATAGGACGGTGAGACCCCAACCGGTTCCACGAGGTCAAGAAAGATAGCGCGAGGGGCAGGGATCCCCACTTCGCCCAGTTCACAGAGAGGTGCCCGCGTCGTACCGCAGCTGCGGCCCGGGGACGCCGAGGAGTCGCGGACCCGCAGCCCGGGCGCGTGGGGTGCCTGACCTGGAGCATCTGCAACGCCGGAGGAAGGCGAGGTGGGTCCTGCCCCGGGCGGCGAGCGCCGCCAGCCGGAGCGCGTCAGTGGAGGAACTCACGGCTCGGGTTCCGGCCCCCCCAGGCTCCGGCTCTGGCTTCAGCACAGCCCACCTTTCCCGGCTTCAGTACCAGCCCCTCGCCATCCTCCTTTGCTGCCCCGGCAGTCGCTTCCGGGCCTCGTCACGTGAGCCCGGCGCCCACGCCCGAGGCCGAGATCACGTGCTCCTCTGCGCTGCCGCCCCTGTTTTCTCACTGAGCGGCCGGCGCTCTGCTCCACAGCACCACCTGACGACCTATTAATGCCACTGCCGGGTGGACTATGTTCTGGGCGCTGGAGACCGCGAGTAGGCACTGAACGGGGCACTGATCTTGGGCATGGGGCAGAGTCCAGTAGAAGAACACTGTGCCTTGAGTTGTGGGTTTGTGAAACATTGCTAATTTTAACACTGGCTATATTTTCTTTTACACATCCCGATGGGTTTATATTGCTTTTATAAGAAATATGCATATTTTTTAAAAATCTTCTAGTCAGATTTTCAGACGCATACACAAACTCTCATCTGTAGTTGCTACTGGAAATGGAACTGTGGGGTAAGGCAACACTATCTTTGAATACATTTAAAATTTTAAAGTAACATTTTTAAATGGATGGCAACATTTCAGCATTATATATCTAGGCTTCTCCTTTTACCTCCTTGTTGTAGATTTTCCCTTTAACAAATATGTAACAAATAGACCTCAAGTCAAAACTGTCTCAAGAGACAGAGATCATTGTTTAATGATAAAGGGGCCAATTCATCAAGAGGGCACAATCATAAATACACATGCATGCAACATCGGAGCACCCAAATACATACAACTAATATTAATGGCCATGAAGGGAGAAATAGATAGCAACACAGTAGTAGTAGGAAAGTCAGTATCCCACTTTCCACAATGGATAGAGCAACTAGAGAGAAAATAAGGAAATAATGAACTTGAATTGCACTTTAAACCAAATGAATCTAACAGATATATACAGAACTTTTCATCCAACAGAAACAGAATACACATTTTTCTCAAACACACTTGGAGCATTCTCTAGAATGGACCAGATGCTAATCCAGAAAACAAGCCTTAAATTTAAGAAGATTGAAATCATATTAATATTCTTTCAGACCATAATGGTATGAAGCTAGAAATCAATAACAGGAAGAATCTTGGAAAATTCACAAATATGTGGAAATTAAACAACACACTTTTTTTCTTTGAGATGGAGTTTCACTCTTGTTGCGTAGTCTGGAGTGCAATGGCACAATCTCAGCTCACTGCAACCTCTGCCTCCCAGATTCAAGCAATTCTTTTGTCTCAGCTTCCCAAGTAGCTGGGATTACAGGCATGTGCCACCACGCCTGGCTAATTTTGTATTTTCGGTAGAGACAAGGTTTCACCATGTTGGTCAGGCTAGTCTCAAACTCCTGTCCTCAGATGATCTGCCCACCTCGGCTTCCCAAGGTGCTGGGATTACAGGTGTGAGCCACCACACCTGGTCCCATGCTTCTAAACAACCAATAGGTCAAAGATGAAATCAAAAGGGAAATTTAAAAAATATTTTCAGACAATTGACAATGGAAACATAACATATTAAAGCTTACAGAATGCAGCAAAAGTTGTTCTATGAGAGAATTTTATAGCAATAAATGCCTACATTAAAAAAGAAGAACAATACCAATTAAATAGTTTAACATTACACCTCAAGAAACTGGAAAAAATAGAGCTCACAAAACCCAAAGTTAGCAGAAGGAAAGAAATAAAGAGCAGAACAAAAATAAATCAAATAGACAACAGAAAAAAACATAGCCAAAATCAATAAAACTAAGAGTTTATTTTTTGGAAAAAATAAAATTGACGTACCCTTATCTAGTCTAAGTAAAAAGGAAATCTCTAATTAAATAAAAAATGAAAATGAAGACACCACAACAGATGCTTCAGAAATAAAAAGAATCATATGGGGCTATAATGAACAATTATTTGCCAACAAATTGTATAACCCAGAGGAAATGGAGAAATTCCTAGAAAAATACAACCTACCAAGATTGAAATCAGGAAGAAATGGAAAGCTTGAACAGACAAAGAGATTGAAGATGTAACAGAGACTATTTGACTTTCTGGCTTTCTGTTTAAATTTCCCTGAAAGACCAGATGGCTTCACAGCTGACTTCTACAAACATTCAAAGAAGATTACCAATACTTAATAAACTCTTCCAAAAAGCATGGAGCTAGAGGGAGTACTTCCCAACACATTTTATGAGGCCAGCATTACCTTGATACCTAAGCCAGAGAAAAACACTATAACAAAAGAAAATTACAGGCTGATTTTGCTAATGCACACTGGTACAAAAATCCTCAATAAAATATTTGCAAACAGAATTCAACAACAATAAAAAAAATTATAAATCATGACCAAGTGGGATTTATCCCTGGCAGGCAAAGCTGGTTTAACATACACTAATTAAACAATATAATAAATCACATTAACAGAATGAGAAATGAAGACCACATGGGTATCTCAATTGACCTTGCAAAAGCATTTGACGATCTTCACATCCTTTCTTTCCCTAGCCCCCACCCTGGCATACCTTCTTAATAAAAAACTCTCAGTGGTTTAGGTATAGAAAGAACGTTCCTCAACATAATAAAGGTAATTTATGAAAAATGCACAGCTAACATTTTAATTAATGGGGAAAAACTGAAAGCTTTTCCACCAAGATCAAGTACCAGTCAAGGATACCCACCCTCACCACTTCTATTCAACATAGGACTGGAAGTACTAGCAAGAGCAATCAGCCAAAAAAGAAAAAGAAAGAAAGCCATACAAATCATAAAGAAAAAAGTAAAATTATCTTTAACTGCAGATGACATGATCCTATATGTAGAAAACCCCAAAGATTAAAAAATTCTTTTAAATTAATGATTTTAGTAAATTTACAGGATATAAAAATCAACATACATGACTGGGAGCTGTGGCTCATGCCTGTAATCCCAGCGCTTTGGGAGGCCAAGAGTGGGGGCAGGTCACCTGGGATCAGGAGTTCAAGACCAGCCTGGCCATCATGGTGAAACCCTGTCTCTACTAAAAATACAAAAATTAACCCAGCATGGTGGCACACACCTGTAGTCCCAGCTACTTGGGAGGCCGAGGCAGGAGAATTGCTTGAACCTGGGAGGAGGAGGTTGCAGTAAGCCAAGATCACACCACTCCAGCCTGGGTGACAGAGTGAGACTCCATCTCAAAAAAAAAAAAATTATAAAAATCAGTAATATTTTTATACACAAATAATTACATACTTCAAAAAGAAATTAAGAGAACGATTTTATTTGAGATAGTATTAAAAAACACTTGAGAATCAATTTAACCAAGGACATGAATAGTGTGTACACTGAAAACTATAAAACAATGATTAAACAAATTGAAGAAGACACAAGTAAATGTAAAGCTATCCCATGCACATGGACCAGAAGAATTAACATTGTTAAAATGTCCATACCCAAAGCAATATACAGATTTAATGCAATCCCTATCAAAATCCCAATGGCATTCTTCACTGAGATATAAGAAATAATCCTAAAATTTGCATGAGATCACAAAAAAACCCTAAATAGCCAAGACAATTCTGAGAAAGAATAACAAACTGGGTGCATCACACTTCCTGATTCAAGATTATGTTACAAAGATATAGTAATCTAAACAGGATAGTACTGGCAAAAAAACCGATACAATAGACCAATGGAACACAATAGAGAGCCTAGAAATAATGCAAACATACATGGTCAACTAATTTTCAAGAAAGGCATCAAGGGAACACAGTGGGGGAAAGATAGTCTCTTCAATAAATGGGACAGAGAAAACTGGTTTTTATGTGAGAAAGAATGAAATTGGATGTATATATTACACTGTACACAAAAATCAACTCAAAATGGATAAAAGACCTAAATGTAAGATCCAAAACTATAAAATTCCTAGAAGAGAACATAAGGGAAAAGCTCCTGGACATTGGCCTTGGCAATGATTTTTTTTGGGTATCAGACCAAAAGGTCAGGTTACAAAAGCAAAAATAAATAAATAGGACTACATAAAACTAAAAAGCTTCTGTACGGCAAAGGAAGCAAACAACAAAGTGGAACAGCAGCCTATGAATTGGAAAACATATGCAAACCATATGTCTAATAAGGGATTAATATCCAAAATTTATCAAGAACTTATATAACTCAGCAGTAGAAAACAACCCAATTTAAAAATGGGCAAAGGACCTGAATAAACATTTCTCCAGAGAAGAAATAAAAATGCTCAGCAAGTATATGAAAAAATGTTCAACATCATTAATCATCAGGGAGAATGCAAATCAAAACCAGTACTAGATACTACCTTACACATATTAGGTTGGCTGTTATCGAAAGTGAAAAGACAAAAATATTGGTGAGGATGTGGAAAAAGGGAATTCTAGTACACTGTTGGTGGGACTGTAGATTGGTGCAGCCATGAGAGAAAACAGTATAAAGGTTTCTAAAGAAATTAAAAATAGAACTACCATATGACCCCCCTTTCTGGGCATATACTAGAAGGAAATGAAATCACCACCTTATAAAGATATCTGCACTCCCACATTCATTGTAGCATTATTCCTAATAGCCAAGATATATTAATAACCTAAGTGTCTATTGACATTGGAATGGATAAAGAAACTGTAGTATATATAGAAACAGTTGTTTGGTTTTTTTTCTTTTCTTTTTTTTTTTTTTTTTTT